TCATGACAAAGATAGTATTTTGGAATTTGAATTTTTTTGATGATAAGTGACAGCTTTTTGAATACAATCTTCAATATTTTTATCCTTATTTGACATTGTGGTGAGTTATTAATTGATGAAGATGATGAAGATGATGAAATTGCAAGATTTTTATCATTTTGGTGTTTTTATCATTTTGGTGTGGCACACCCACACCAGGTGTGGGTTGCGCAGCGGCACGATTACTAGGTTAACTGGGATAATCATAGCTGCCCTGGTTTTTCGACTCCCACTAATTTACACACAAAAACGGGTTTATAAAACGCAAGTATTTAGCTCCAGACTACCTTGGATGCCTTCAATGACAACCACCGCCATTGAACAATTAATCGATTGACCACAGTTTGCTGATCGGGAGAGGTTTGCGGCATCCAAAGCGGAAGTTTAGCCCCTTCATCACTATGGAGTCTGCCACTGAATTTTGTTAGTAAGACAACGGGGCAATTAGCTCAGTTGGTAGAGCGTTCGCTTTGCATCCCAACCGCTTGCGAAAGGTCGTGATTTCGATTATCACATTGTCCAGTTTCCTTTTTCTGCTTTTCACATTTCTAAGCTAAAAAAGACTTTTTGCATACTGTGTGTTTCTAACGGCTTGTTATCTCATTCTCCCTTCTCTTTTTAATTTTCTTTTATACTCATGGCATCCTGCGTGAACAGCTGCACAGCGACTTGCGGCAAGTTCGGGCGTGAAAATTAATTGGTGTCACATGACCATGCGTTTCTGAGTTATACCTAATTATTTAATATATATATCCTTGGATAAATTTCTTCCAGCTCAGCCAGTACATTCTGAAAAGGATAATGTGAAATGATAGCATGATATTTCAGTGAGCTGGATCTCACATGACTCCAATTCAGCATCTATGAATAATAAATTGAAAAGAAAGGCAAACAATGCCTTGGATGACAGCCAACTAGCAGATACAGCAGAGGAATCTGCATCTCTTCCTTTTGCTTCGAAGCCTCCGGGTGACGGGACAGAAGTTCCCGATATCAAAAAGGGTCGTCCAAAATCCACCTCGGAGACCCTAGCGGATGCATCCACCTCCAACACCACTCTCCCTACCAAGACCCACGATGTACCAAACAAGTTGACCAAAACTGTCAAAAAGCAGCGTTCCAGCACCCCATCCTCGAGATCAAGGAGCACTTCTTCCCGATTCCAGTCAAAAACATTGTCTGCCACCTCTGCCCCAGCGATTCCTTGGCCCGAATCTTTCAAAATCCTCTCTCAAACGCACCGGGCACTTAACCTCGTCTACACCTTCTGCTCCGCGCGAAAACATTTTGCGACTACGTTCGATAATATCAAGGCAGCCGTTGAAGCGCAGACGGGTGGGCGTAGACTAAGTGTTGAAGATGTGGCGAGAGTCAAAGTGCTGATCCCGCGATCTGTGAGGTTTGAGAGTGTTGACAGGGGAGTTATAGATCTCGTAGGAGTAAAAGAGGCAAAAATCACGAGGGGTGGGAAAATATGGCGTGATTGGGAGGCTGAGGGGATGGGCCAGGACAGCGATACTAATGAGGGTGCAGCTCATGATGGTGAGAAGGAGGTGCTATTGTTCGAATTTGTGTATGGGGAATTGAAGAAAGAGATCCAGCAGCCCACTTCGCGAAAGAAATCGAAAGAAGAAGACCTTAGAATGCCCGTCTATAGCCAAAAGCATATGATGGGCCTGATCGAGAAACGAAATAGGAAATTTGCGGATGCTGTTGATGCGTTCCTTGTCAAGTGTAAGGGTGAGGATATCGATCCCGTCGAGAAGCTGGAGGCTGATAAGGAGAAGTTCATGTCTGAATTAGCCCGTAGCGGGAAGAGCACTCCTACCATCGCTAGGCTGCCGGCACAGATCCCTAGGGAGCGTCAAACGATCGCAGAAATCATTGCCAACATAAAGGAAATGGAGTGGTATACCGGTCAGATAGTACCTGATGGCCATCGGGTCATTGACTCGCAGGCAGCTGTCTACGGTAATCTCAAGTTTGCGCTTTCACAGAGTCTGATTAATGCCTTGTATAATACGCGAGGTATCACCCAGTTCTATTCCCACCAGGCAGAGTCAATCAACAACCTCCATGACGGGCATAATGTCATCGTGTCTACTTCGACAAGTTCAGGGAAGTCCCTAATTTACCAAGTTCCAATGCTGCATGAGTTGGAACAGGACCCCCAGAGTCGAGGGATGTATATCTTTCCGACTAAGGCGCTTGCCCAGGACCAACGACGAAGCCTGAAGGAGTTGCTGGGATATATCGAAGGATTAGAACATACCCTTGTGGAAACCTTTGATGGAGATACCCCTATAGAAGATAGAAACACGATTCGAGACGAGGCACGGATTATTTTCACCAATCCAGATATGTTACACATCACTATATTGCCTCACGAATCCTGTTGGCGGACTTTTCTGAAGAACTTGAAATTCGTGGTTGTAGATGAGTTACACGTTTATAATGGTCTTTTTGGCTCTCATATTGCGTTCGTCATGAGACGATTACGGAGAGTATGTGCTGCGGTTGGAAACCGCCATGTCAGGTTTATATCTTGTTCAGCCACGGTTGCAAATCCGGAAGAGCATATGAAAACGATTTTTGGAATCGATGATGTGATGTTAACAGACATTGACGGGTCACCATCGGGTAGAAAGGAATTTATATGTTGGAATACCCCCTTTCGTGATCCTGGTGACCCATCTTCTGGTCGCGGTAACAGCATCAGGGAGACTGCCTGTTTGTTCTGTCAGTTAATTTTGAGAGGCGTACGGGTGATTGCTTTCTGTCGAATCCGAAAGCAGTGCGAGCTCTTGCTCAGTGCCGTCAGAGATGAGTTCAGAAACCTCGATCGACCAAGCGTCTCAAAATTTGTAATGGGATATCGTGGGGGCTATAGCCCGCAAGATAGACGAAAAATAGAGCGAGATATGTTTGAAGGGAAATTACTTGGGATTGTGGCCACGAATGCTCTGGAGCTGGGTGTCGATATCGGCTCGCTCGATGCTGTGATAACGCTTGGGTTTCCTTACTCTATATCAAACTTACGTCAACAGAGTGGACGCGCTGGTCGCAGAAATAAGGACTCTGTTTCTATTCTTGTCGGTGATTCAAATGCCACTGACCAATATTACATGCAAAACCCAGATGAACTTTTCACGAAACCTAACTGCGAGCTTCAGGTGGACTTGCAGAATGAATTAGTCCTCGAAGGTCATGTTCAATGTGCTGCATTTGAAATGCCCATTCGCCCAGATGAAGATATAAAATACTTTGGCGCACAGCTCCATGAGTTCGCATCCACGCGGCTCATTAAGGATAACTTAGGATTTTACCATTGTCATGAGCGATTCCTTCCACTTCCCGCAAGATGTGTTGCTATTCGTGACACAACAGACAACCATTATGCAGTCATTGACACAACAAACAATCAAAATGCCATTATTGAAGAACTTGAGGAATCTAGGGTATTCTTCAGCATTTATGAAGGAGGCATTTTCTTCCACCAAGGAAATCCTTACTTGATCAAAGAACTCAACATTGACCGGCGTTTTGCCCGCGTTGTCCGCGTTCATGTAGACTGGACGACTCGACAACGGGACTTCACGGATATCGACCCCACCGAAACAGAAGCCATCAGACGCATTAGCAGGGAATGCAACACCCGTGCTTTCTTCGGTGCCATCAAAATCCGCACACTAGTCTACGGCTTTTTTAAGCTGGACAAAAAAGGCCGAATCCTCGACGCGGTGGCGCTTGATAGTCAGCCAATTGAGACCCTAAGCAAAGGCATGTGGCTAGACATCCCTAGAAAGGCGCTTGAGATCCTTAAATCCAGAAATCTCAACGCTGCCGCTGCTATTCATGCCGCAGAACATGCCATTCTAGCTCTGTTGCCAACATACATCATCTCGTTACCCGGCGACGTCCGAACAGAATGCAAAGTCGCCATAAAGGAACTAGGTCCCAAACACAAACAAGCAATAAGCCATGCCCGATCAAAAGATGTTCCCCCACCACCCAAGCCTGCCCGACAGCGTCCGGCCCGACTCACTTTTTACGATGCTAAGGGGGGATCATCAGGCTCGGGAATCGCCGCAAAGGCATTTGAATTCATTGATAGCCTTCTACGACGGGCACTAGGGCGTCTCGAGGCGTGCCAATGTACTAGTCCTCAGGGCTGCATCGAGTGTGTGTGTGATGAACGGTGCAAAGAGTTGAATGTTGTTATGAGCAAAGCCGGCGCTGGCGTGGTGTTGAAGTGTTTGCTGGGGATTGAGGTGAATGTCGATGCGTTACCATGGGGTGAAGATGTGCTAGGGGCAGCTGGTGCTGCGTCGAGGGACCAAGAGTGGTTGTCTAGTCAGGAGGGAAAAGAGTTAGCTGGGGGATTGGAGACTATTGTTGAGGCTGTGGAGGTTTCTGCGAGGCCGGGTATGGTGGCTCGGGTTTATGGAGAGGAGGAAAGTGAAAGAGGATTAATTTTGTAGTTTGGCAAATATGGGGACTGCCTCAAGTAAAACATAGCCCTTCAAATGAATGAATGCATGGATGCACAAATAAAAATGGTAATTAAGGAATGACAGGTACTGCATTCAGTCTTGTGCCTCTTCTCCCTGTTTCTGCACGGGAGCATCCTTCTCCGTATGATATCAGCTTCACCATTAGCCTTTGGAACTGGGAGATATAAAGAGAATAGATTAGGTGATGAACCATTTGGGGTATACGACATATAATATAAGTAGTACATACAGCCTTTGGCCAGATATAATATTTTTGATACCACAACTCTATCCACTTTATCCAGAGTGCCTCGAATTGAACATCAAGAAAAATACATTTTTACGCCCATCCTCAGACGAAGTTCCGTGAGGAGTTCAGCTCAGCTATTCACAAAAACAGAATACTGTATGCAGTCTATAAAACGGAATGCAAGAAAACTAATAATTAACGTTCTATCACTAGAACAATTAATGGAGAGAGGAAGAAGTAAAACGTATAGAATCGACAGCGATATATCGCCGCTCAGACCCGACGGAAACGCCATTAAACATGGATACCACAACGTTTGGTGAAAGACAAAAGACGTAGACGTTTTCATTATTAGTTTTCTCCCCTACATCCTCCGTACCCAGTGGCCCCCGCAATCTCCCCATGATCTGCATTCTAGCAAAAATGCCTCCCAGGCAACTCCATTTCGACTGTGGCACAAACGGACCATAGAATATTATCTGGCCCTCCCTTTCAACTTTCTGCCTCTTGTTAGAATCCGAGATGTAATAAGCCAAGGAATCTCGCATTTCATGAGTTTCCAGTGGACACGTGAGGTTGCATGTATATATGCGACAGAAGTGGTACGCAAATCGAATGGCCATAGAGGTACCCTAGGTATGTTGTGTGAGTTGTATTGCACCAAATATATACCCATAAATATATATTTGTGCATAAATCTGCAGCGGGCTTCAATTACCCTTATGATTGTCAGTCCAAATCGTTCTGAGCTTTATTTCTGCAGAGGATATGGGGACCAGAGGAATTTCGTTCATTGATATGCGAAAGGGAACATCAATACTTACCCAAAATAAATATATATGTGAAAGATCAAAACTCCCCTCAACTCTGGTTGTTTCATCTGGTCATTCTTTATCTTGCGGACACCCCGACCGGAGCTGCTAACGGCAATGAAGACGGGCATTGCCAATAGATAGAATAGACCAAGGCTGGCTAACTAAGAGAGACCGGTATAATTCAGGTTCGGAAGTCCGATGGTATAGTTCCATGATTACATTAGAGTAGATAAACATACCTGTAGTAAGTGTGAAGCGTCTAAGGCCTCTACCCATACAGCAGAAGTGAGAAATAAAATCAAAAAAGGGGAAAGGGGGGAACATAAAAATGGGCAAACAGAAATGAGGAAACGGGAATAGTTTACCTCCAAAGCCACAGCAATCTGCGCATATAAAAATATGTGGGAACCTCGAAGTTGTACGTTTATGGTGTGCTACGGGGTTGACTAAGGCGGAGATTGGTAGGGTAATACTCCGCTTATGGAAGATGGAGCCTTTGGAGAGCTTTCGTTGGTGCTGCCAGTGTCGTCCAGATTCATTCGCCAGAACATCGTTTTCAAATCACACACGTCCTCCCGAAAGGTGTCTCGAGGTTTTAATTCTCTCTCTCGAATCCAGTCCCGAATTTCACGAACTAATCTTGGATAACCTTCATCATTGGGGAGCCACCAGTGAGTCAGTTCCGGAAGTTGCCAGAAATCCGCCATTTTGGTACGGAATGCGGGCGGATGAATGAGTCTGGATGTGTAGATGTATGATCAGTGATGTGGACACAATAAGATTCTTGTAAAATATTGTCTTACCCTAGTTGCTCTACTTGTGCCAATTTTCTCCGACACCACATGGTATGCTGTTCATCGCGCGGCAAAAATAGGGTGGATAGCCCTAAAGCATTATGAATCGACAGCATAGAGTCTTTCGGACGATTGGGCCACCGCTCCATGGCTTCTACCACACGGCAGATTTCTAATGCGAGCGATTGTAATTCTGCGAGGTCCAGCTGCTGCAAAAACACACCAGTTTGGTATTTATGCATCATTATTGTGCTAAGTACGTCAACAAGGCAGTTGTTCATTTCCCACTGCGATTCATTATGTATTCCCCCTGGCACGTAAGGATCGACAATATCATCCGGGCCAAGAGGCACCTTATTCGGGTAGGACATGACAAGGTGTTGTGGATTGGTCAAGGAATTCCAATTCTGTTGGATTTCCTCAATGCTGCTTGAGAGCTCCTTGTTTTGGCGGTTAAATTCCTCTGTTGTAATGACCCCGCGCGATGCCTTCGCAATCAAAGATGCCATATCCATGGCAATCCTTCTGTTACGGACACCCCAAGCCAAGTATTGTTTGTTGAGATCCCCTGGATTGTTGGCAGCATCTCCAGTGGCGGAAAATTCACATGCAATGTACCAATCTCGATCCAAAATTGTTTCGTTCCCAGCTATGAGACCGGATACCACATCAAAGCGGGTGTACCACATGAAGATATGACGACGAAACTCATTTTGGTAGATTTTTTCGGGAGTGTAGAGCTCGGTGAGCATGCGATGAGCGGCTTGATGATGGTCAATGACACTAGCCCAATCTCCTAGATATTCCTACGAATTGTGTCAGAACAAAAAGCATAGCATGAAGATGAAAGGTTAACACATACTTCGAAGGTTGCTAATTGAAGGATAGTCAACAACATGGCATCATTGTGAACGTTACCAGAACTAAGCGACTTCAACAGGCCCGTTACTGACTGATTATAATATTTAAGGAAGGTGTAAAGTTTGCCTTTAGGGTGCCTGATGGAATAATGATAAGCTGAGTAACCAACAACGGCGTATAGTAACGGCTCATATTGCAGAGCGGACGCAAGAAGGTCATTCTTGATAAAAGCTTCTGCAGGCTGTCGCAAACAGTAGTGTTCAAAAGTTATCTGCTGTCGGTGATATTCAAGGAAAAATCGGATGTCGTACTTGAGATTGGAAGTGACAGGTAGGTTCGAGATGGCCTCCAAGACGGGTTCCAACGTTTCTGGACCCGTTTCAATGTTGCCACCAGGACTCCGAGATTCTGCAGTTCCCGACGCAATATCAATACCGGGAGAACTGCCTTTCTCCTGAATGTTCGATGATGTGTCTGAAGGCTGACGCAGTTTCCGCCGGCTGAGGGATTGGACGCTCTTTCTTCGAAACATAGTACCTTTCTGACGTAGTATAGTCGGTGACAGAGAGATGTTTTCTTTTGTGCCTTCGTTCTGTTCTGTAGGGTTTGTTTTCGAAATCGCCGTGTCACGCCCATCATTTTCATCGGAAGATTCACTTTCAGGTATTACTGGAGGCTTTTCTGCAGCATCCAGGTTCGCGCGGCTTCCAGATTTTCTCACCGGTGGTGACGGATAAACGCAATCTCTTTTGCCTTTGCTGCATCCTGAAGGTATTATAAAAAACGTCAATATAAGTTCTTAAATTTCCAGTGAGGTGAGGAGAACGTACGATCACAAATCGGATGAGTTTCATCACACTGCATAGGACATCAGTAAGAGGCACTCAGCAGAATCCTACCAACCTTGGAATGACAAACCTTCACCCGGCGGGAACGGCATGTGAAGCATCCACTTCTTGTTCGTTTATGTTTTCTTTGATCATTTTGGATGGACGCCATTTGCAATCGGGAATGGTTACCTTGAGGATGGGATATGCGTTGTTGATGAGGGTTATGCCAGAAAGTAATAGAGTCGGGATATTGTGAAGGTCTCAAGATACTTGGGTGGACAACAAACTGGGCGCCCTTATGCATTGAAGGTGCATTGTAGCTTGCTACAAGGCCTTCAGGAGCAAAGTATGGGTTCATCTCGGCCCTAGATGGTTTTCGGGGCCGAAGAGAAAAGACGTGGATTGTGTTGGGCAGTCACGATTTCTAGAAACTGCATCTCTTAGCACATCGCACTATTGCGGCCGTGGTTGTCCAATTCCAAATACAAGGCTGTAAGTATAGAAGGGCGGAATGGAGTCATGGAGCACTTGGAGCATGCTGACACTCGTGCCAGGTACACTTGAAAACAGGTGCAGCGGAATAATAACCAGAAAAAGAAATTTTTTTTTGAAAGAGTAAATAATGACAAAGTGATTGTGAACCATTAGCCTATGGATGGTCAGGAATGATTGCAAGCCAATACCACTTCCTCCAACCAGCCGGGTCTCAGACTATGACATTTTGCAAGGCGCGACCAAGAAGGATTTGAGAGATTTACGCGCTAGCAGGGAACCAAGAGGGAAATTCGCGAGGAGTTTAGAGGCTGATGAATAGTTGACAGACAATACGCCGCTGATAGGCCAAATTCATGATGTCTGTTTTCCAAACAAAGGGAGAACGGAAGAAACTAAGAAATCGGATCTTACCTTGGAGTACGGGTGATAATTATGCAAGCACCCAGGTTACCCTCTCGTCGAACATGAGTAGAACGGACCAGGATGGTTGGCAAGTCAACAGTAAGTGGGAAACCAAAGACCACAAGAGTGAGTTTCTACGTGACTATTTGGTTATTGTCTTCGGTCGGAGCGGTCCGAAAGAGATCTGGGTGGGATACCAACAAGGAATTGGCTGAAGTGGAGTGTGGTAAATATTTACTACCGTGGATGATAGAGCCAACCTAAACGATAATGGCACCTAAAAGGCCAAAAGGCAGCACGGTCTGAGTGGATGAGACTTTTTTTAAGCCAACAGCTTCGATGCAATCGCTCTTCTTTTAACCTTGGGGCTTAGGGAAGGTCTGATAATTAGCGGGCTTATCATCAACAATCTTTCACTAATAAAACGATGCGTTTATGTACATCCCTTGTATCAAAACAGCAGGAAAAAGAAGAAGAAGAAGATAAAAGAAGCAAAACGAAAAATGGGAAAAGCAAAAGAAAAAAGCAAAAGGCAAAAAGAAAGGCAAAACGAAAGGAAATTCTCACCTTTAACTTCCAACCCAATATTATGCTCACTCCATCCTGTGTGCTCTCTCACGCCCTCAGGTGACGCCAACGTTGGCTGATGCAACGAGCGAAACCAGAAAACGATAATATCTCCGATAACAATGTTCACAGGTAGTCCGAAAGGGAAAGTCTTTGAGGAACGAGAAGATACGATTCGAGATTTGGAGATACGATTCGAGATTTGGAATTTGAGATTTACCCGGAGAATGGAGTCCAGAGAGGCAGAGACAATTTTGCGGACTGTAAGCTGCCAGGTGAGGGCAGTCATGCAGTGATGCTCCACTTGGTACAACAGCCCTCCACTAGGTAGGAAAGGATGCAGTAGTTGATAATAGCAGTGATGACTTAGGCAACAGTTAGATTTTAGATCTTCGGTGCCCAGTACCCAGCAGTCAAAACTTGCACTTTCGCACTGTCGGTTTCAATCACGATTCAATGACTCGAGTCTTCCAGATCAAAATGCTGAGAGCCTTCCCAATGAACAGATGATAACTCCGAGCCGTTCGAGTAGTTTGAATGTACCATGCAAGCCGGACGATCTGAGTCTTTGGATGCCCCTTCTCCACTTTCGGACCAGTGGATCTTCTGTCAATCCAGATAAAACTAAAATAGTAGGTTGCGTGGATGCCACTGGATGCCACTGGATGCCGCTGGATGCCAATGGCAAAAACGTGATCGTAATAAGATTGGTACCTGGTCGAGTACCTTAACTAGTTCACTGAAGCATATTAGTTAGCCAACGTAACATATTCCACCAGGATGTCAAAAGTAAATTAAGCAACCAGTGCACAGCTCCACTGTCTCACCAAATTATATTATAATTACCCTGAAGCAAAAATGTACAGCCAGGTAGACTTCTCCCCCACCTCTGCCGTTAGTTGCCAGAAATAGCATGGTCTCCAATTAGTGTGCAAACATTGGACCAAGGATGAGAATACCTCAACCAATAGATGCCCCATATATCTAATATGGTACATCTATTGACCCACCCACTCATACCCAACTCTGAACCTTAGTTAGCACTGCATGAAACCACACAAGGACACTGACACATTCTCTCAGCTTCCCCACCAAAATTCCCTGCCAAACTTCTTAAACCAAAGACCCCGACACCATCCACCCTTAACAACCAGCTAGCGTGGAACCCATGAAGGAAGAAGCTCTTATAGTTTAAAAAGGAAGATGGTGAAAAATGCGGAGTCCATTAATGAGATATATATTTATTCCCTACCTATATCAACAGGCTAGGCCCTGCTAAAATCCCTCAAATAAAGCAGAATTGAGAAGAAGTTAAGAGTTGATAATGTCATTTTTAAAAGTAATCTCAATATAACTGTCAGTTTTCAATTTACATGGTGATCTTGATGTCAATAGTCGCCATTTCTTAATTATTTTAACATATATAATTACTGAATTATTATTTAGTAAAATATATAATTATTAAAAAAAAATTTAAATATTATCTTTGAAACTTTTAGTAACAATATTAAAAAAAAGTAAAAATTAAAAAAATATATATATATTATTAATTTCAAATAAATATTTTTTATAAAATAAAATAATATAAAAATATAATTTTAATTTTTTTTTAATTTAATTACTATTTTTATTATATTTTTTAGTTATATAAAGTTAAATATTAATTATTTTTTTTAAATTTTAAAATAAAACTTATTATTTATATAATAAAATAATTAAAAATTATAAAATATATAATAATAAATTATATTATAATAATTTTATAAATAAAAAATAAATAATTTTTTTTAAATTTTAAATTATATAAATATAAATATTTCTATATTTTTAATAATTTTTATAATATTTAATATCTATATTATAATAAAATTTATAATATATTATTTATAATTTTTAAATAATTAATTTAAAATAGAAAAAGTTAAGCTTTATATAATATGTAGTTAATTTATAAACCTTTACTAAAATAAAAAGAAATAACTAGTTAGAGATAAAATGTTATTTAAAAAGATAATTAATAATATTCAAAATAATCATTATCACAGAAGATAATTTTCATTTATTTATCTTTAGAATTTATTGAACTAGCAGATTCTTTTTAATCGTAGTCAATTAGTTTAGAATTTATATATAGTCTCTTTTCTTACAGACCTGTCATCGAGTCAACCAAAGTATCAATCAAAGTAGAGTTGAATAGAAAACTTCATACAGAGTATGCAGCTTCATGAATTGGGAGTATCCCTTTTTTTTTAAATTGATGACATTCTCACGCGTTAAAATAGGTACATGAGGAAATTAAAGGTATGTTGCATATGCTGACCGGCTCTCTTCCGCTTCCTTTCCAGTGTGTCCCTTGATTAATCTTCAGCTGTGACAGTACTTGAAATCGAGCAGATACAATAAATACCAATTATGCTAATGCATTGCCAGCAGCTGGCCACACCTGAGCACAGAATGAGGGTTGGGGTATTGAAAAGATAACTGCATCTGTTTGGATTGGGCACTTTGTCCTAACTTTAAAAGAATAATAATTGCGCTTTCCTGGGTCTCCTTTCCAAATTGACAAATAAAGTTTTACACCAGCGATCAGAGCATTTCTTGTCTATCAGTGCCAAGTTGAAGAAAGTCCCTTAATATCCGGGTTGAACTTTATTGAGATTTGACTGTCGCTAAGCCAGACAATAGCTCAAGAAATAATAAGCCAAGCTAAGACCTCATTCAGATCGAGCTCTTTGAAGATCTTCTCTGCCAGACGGCAAGCAATGACCGGGGGGATGCTGACGAAAAATGGGGTCACCATTATTAAACAAACGTTCAGGAGTTCTGACTTTTGGGGCAGCGTGTTCCAAATCAAAGAAAAGAATTTCTGCCTACCCGGCTCCAAAGTTTTTTGGGGCTAACAGACTAACAGAGGTTATTTTATCTCAAGCTTCTTTTGTGATATGATAACATGACAACATATGATGATGCATGAGAGAGAAAAATACAAAAACAGCTGCTAGGGAGAAAAAAAAGTACTTTGAAACTGCTGCATTTCTGGAATCACTCATTTTATCTTGATAACTACCTTGTTTCCCATTATCTCAGCTCTCCAAGAAGGAGAGAGATGACGGAAGAGCTGGACAGCTGATGAGAAATAATATGGGATGGATTCACACCCTTTATTTTATCTGAGCTCTAGATTTGTTTTTTTCTTTTTTTTTTAACCTGCCTTGCTACTATTTTAGTAAGTGTTTTAGTTAACTTAGTTAAATGTTCCATTATTAGTCAACCACCTAACTATCTTCTCTAAGTCATGTTCATCGTTAGTAACTAGCTAAGCCAGTCAGCTAATTAAGCCGGGCGCGTGAACTTTGTTGACTTTCTTGACTTTCTTGGAGGGTAGCGTTTGATGTTGGTGTTCAGCTAACGCCTAATTAGCCGAAATCTAAACTACATATGGGGGGAGGCACGTGCTTAGGGTAGCCGCGGTATCCACTTCCAGGCTCCCATGGATCGGAGCCAATTGGGTGAGGGTGACTAAGCCCGACCTGCCATGCAATTTTTTTAAGGTTGGCGCGTGCAGCTGCTGACTGTGGATTCATTTGACGCGATGAGACAGTGGAAGTGAGTGAGTGCATGAATGATCTGGGTTTGAAAAATTCAAACACCCTATGAGAATGGCAGTTCTCCAGATTGACAAAAGCTCCCTTGTCTTGCTTGATTATGCAGCACCGGACTCTCGTAAGAGAAGAGCCCTCAATCTTTTATGGCCGGTATCATGAACCTCCCAAGCCCCTTCTGCTAAGTAAACTCCATTAAAACATCCATGTGGAGTGGAATGTCCGTTTTTCCCACTAAACCAAGAGGAAGAAGGGAAGGGAAAAGAAAAGAACAGAGAAGAGGAGAAGAAGAGGGTTGTTGTATTATTGTGAAACTCAGGAGTCTGAATAGTGCGTGCTTCTAGAAGGGGGGAATTCGCTCAAGGATGACAAACAGTTGATTGCCCACCCAATGAGAAGAATAATGAATCCAGCGTGAGAGTGGGATATTTTATCATCCAATGCTCATTGGAAGAAGGGATCGGTATGCTAAACTTATGTGAATTGCTTACATAGTGAGAAGATATTTATTTCATCCATCGATCCGTTAAACTAAGTTCTGAGGCTCCCTTTCCTTTCACAATCCGCACTCGAATGAGCGAAACCCCCTAAATTCATACGAGTACGCAATCATCATTCCCCCCTCCCCCCAAAATAAATAAAATTAAAATTAAAATCAAAAATAAAACTAAAAAACAAAACAATGGGTTGTTAGGGGCATCCCCCTATAAATTATAAATTCCTAGTGATTTTCGCGTCTGCTGCGCCTGCTGCTCCTGCGCAAGTATCTCAACCGCCAAGAGAGACGAACGGATATGCTGAAAAGCGGCTCTATACATATCAGAGAAATGCACCGCAAACACAACAGGTACCAAAATCTAATGGTATGTTTTCATCATGCTCCCACCTTTCGCGAATGCTTCGTTTGGATATTTCGAACATGCATTTTTCAAGTAAAACCAAATTACCTTGCAGGAGAGAAAATCAACGTAGAAAACTACGTATGCTCACAGGTTAACTTCAACAGTCTCGGAAGAGAGAGGGACAATATAATTAAGCTTAAAAATTCTTTTCGTGATCCTCTCAACAGAGTTACATCAGATATTCTAATCTGACGCTGTGAAAGTAAACATTATCCTTTCAAACTCAAGAGCGCGAAAGATTTTATCAATGGAAGAGTTAATAGGGGGATAAGTTTTGGTCGAGTTACGCCTGAAAATCGTTGGAAGTAGGGTTGCTCGGAATACGTCCAACTTCCCCACCCTGCTTTGCCATCGTTTTCGGTTCAGAAGATCTGGCATTAATTATTCAATCGGTGGTCTTGCCGCCACTTAAACCGCTCCCAATACGCTCCCAGGTTTCCCCCTTCCCCTTGCCTGTCATGCCTGTTCCTACATGGGCAGGCAACCAACATACCTTGAAATGTGTGCGTGCCGTATATAAATATGTGCATGCCCATGAATTTATAATGGGGACAGAATTTTATCCCAACATTTTTTTTTTGAGCCAACTACATACCAGCAGATTTTTTCAGTTCCTGAATTTTCACTTTTAATGTGCTTGGTATAATCGAGAAAAGTCAAGAGAGGCCTAATGCCTACCACTTCAAATTTTGTTACAGTTCCAGTGTCCTGACGTGGAGCCCTTGCCAAACAAAAACGCAAAAATGTAAGAAAAAGAAAAATTCTGGTAATGATGATGATGATGGGCCCTCAAAAGGGAGAACTAGCGGTTACAGAAAGGATGTTCAAGGTGGAAAGGAAAGAAAAAGGAAAATGCCGTCATCGCTTCATAGTTGTTAAGAAGTTGAAATAAAAAAGGCAACCAACAGGAAAATCGCAGGAGACAGTTCATGAAAATATATTAAAAATATAAAAAGAGACCGAAGAATGATCCTGATGAATGCCAGTCATACCGTTAAGCATCGTATGTTCTCACCTGACCAAAAACACCGGAGATCCTCCCAGAAACAAATCTTCAACTGACAAAAAGCAGAATGAGTATCGTATGCAACAACAGCAAGCACCCCAGAGAAAACTGATGCCAAACGCCGAGTGAAGAATATATATTAAAAGGAAAAACGAAATGATGAAAATCGTTTTAATGCACTCGAAGTCGTAGGAATAAAATTAGGGAATTTCAGGAAACAAGAAGGACAAATCATGAATCAAAGGTACAATTTGACGTGTTTGATATGAGCAAAACGGGATATTCGAGGAAACGGACTTGTAGCGAATCGACCAAAATCAAGTCAACGGGTATCCATCCAAAGGAGACGTGTAACTGAGAAATTGAGGCCAAAAAGAAACAAGCCAAAGATGAATATGTATCCTAATCTGGGCGGGAATGGGCACTGAATGTGGATGTTTAGATTTTTGTCATCGATATGGGGTATATTAAACAATTGGTTCCGCTCGTTATGAAACCGTCTCTTGCTGGTGGTTGGTGTTGGCATTGTCGTTGGTTTCCGAGTTGGATACACCTTGACCTCTACATAATGGGCAAGAGTTGCGACCAGTCGTGAGCCACTATAGGATCGTATTAGCTATTATAATCCCAATTTGATAACATGAGTAAGGATAAGTCCTTACCTCGTCAATACATTCACGATGGTAAATGTGACGACATTTGGTTAACTGTCTGACCTCCTCTGCTGCTTCGTAGTCGCAAAGGCAGATAAGACATCTTTCGTTCTCCGCGATGGGGATATTCTGGATATTCTCAGACGCATCCGCCGATTCAGCGATCAGAGCCCCACCATACTCAACCAACCGGAATATTCCTCCTGCGGAAGCAATATCTTCATGGGAAGCTACGGGTGGCTTGGCAGGACCAAGTAGTGATGACAGAAGCACCATGTCCTCATAGGTAGGGTTCTAATAGACTAAAATTAGAAACGGACGAAATCCAGCGTCCAATTGGCGCTTTACTTACATCAGTGAACAAACTTGGAGTCGCGAATGCTGGGTGGTTTTCAGATAGGTTCGTTCCAACAACATATATCAACCAGCTTCTTCCACCGGACGGCAAGGCGGTGTCGGGTTCAACAACGCCGTTTCGCCTTGCTGCTCCGGAACCGAGCCCACGATGTCGAGCGGTTTCAGAGTCGCTTCTACGGCGCTGGCGTACATTGCTAAAAGATGGGCTCTCTTCAGAAGACTCGTCTGGTTCATGGACAGAGTTCTCATTCAAGTGCGGCAGCACTGCGGAGGACGATGATGGTCGCCGACTCGGGCTGTTGGTTCCAGATGAAACGTTTGATAGACCGGGCTCTGCAGGAGTAGATGGAGGTGGATTGGGACCTGGAGGGCTTTCCGATAGAACTGTAGGTAATGAGCTTGCTAAATCCGATTGGTTACGGGATGCTACATGTGATCTTTGATGACGCTGACTGTCGTAATTGGCCGGGAATGTGTTGCCTCCAAGTGAGCGACGATGGCCGGAGAATCTAGACCGTCTATCAGCACGCCGAAGTAATCCACTGGAGCCACGCTCGTTCCGTGAAACGTTATTTGGTGTAATGAATGGTAAACGGAGTAGAGAATCCAGCGAGGCACGGGCGTGGAGTCCAGTATTCAAGTCGGATCCGTTGTTTATGGAGGGAACTGACCTTACTCCTACCACCACCAAAGTCACCAACCGCCTGTCCTGGGCCCCTTCAACTGGAGGGTGGTCATCAATATCCATTCTATCGGATCCACTGTTTTGGATGTCCTCAGATGGCTGGTTGGGACGGCCAATTGCTGAGCTATCTTCGGAATTATCCGGATTAACGAAGCGGAACACCCTCAAGAAATTGACGTGCGGTAAACCAGCTTCCCTCTGGGTACTTCCATTATTGTCCTCAGTTCCTGTTCCCTGTGTTTGGACAGTTGTCGCCTGCTGTAAACTTTGTATGAAGTTTTCTAGGGAACCCTCTGCTCCGTCACCACCAATAGCCTGGATATTGGGGATTGCGGGTGGGGTATTCCCAGAAAGTTGAGCGGCTATAGCCGCAGCTGCCAATTGCAGAACGCGAGACAGAGGAGTCTGCGGAGCTTGCTCATCTCTACGCGTCGACCGAATATGCCTCGTACGTGGCAGAATATGTCTTCGCGGAGATGAAGAGGTACGAGATGGTCGAGGAGGAGTGGTTGGGGAGGTTGGGTGAGTACTTCTTGTTGCAGGTGGCGGAAGGTGGTCGCCATCCTCAGAAAATCCAGGTCGACTTGGACGACGCGGTGGTAGCATCACCGTCTGAGAGGGCTCGGGCGGTACGTTTGGTTGGCCAAAAATATGCGATATCGGAGCAGCGATGGAATGTCTTACATGGCTTAGTCTTGCCCGTTGACGCCAAGACAATCTTGAAGATCCAGAGTCACGTTCAGTGGTGGTAGGATCCAGGTATGTGGGATTTGGGGGGGGATCCGGTAAAAATGCGGGATCGCCTCGTGGAAGGGGGTATGGGCCACGTATTGAACGCCTTCTTGAAATTCCCCTTGAGCTTGACCCTGTAAATGATGAAAAGCGGTGCGAATGATGGGCAGATTCGGACCGATGTAGAGTTCTAGAGAGAAGACCGATTCGATGAGCACGGCCTTCCACTGGTGTTTCCTCACCACTGTTTAGCAATCCTCGAATCACTGCGTTGGGTAGGATCCTGGAACCAAGACGGGACATAGTCGACTGTCGTCTAGTAATAGAGGCAGAGGTTTCCTGCGTGGCGGAAGAACTATGTGGCCCCATGTGTTCCATGTTTACCAGAGGGCTGTCCCCCAGTTGGGATGGATTTGTGTCACTTGGATTTGAAAATGTGGCGATATGAGTGGTGGAAGTGGACAAAGACGGAGGCGCTGTTTGGGAGATCAAAGGGAGAGATACATGGCTGTGTGGCATCGTATGAACCCCACCATTAGAGTGATGTGAATGATGTAAAGAAGTATTTAGATGCTCGGGGAGATGTTGTTGTTCAGTAGGCTGGTTGTACAGGTAATGCGAAAGTGGGTGCAATGAGGTATTGCTTAAGTTGCGGTTGTTGCGGTCGTGGTTGTTATTGGTGCTGTTGTAACTGGTATGCAGCGAGTCTGCGCGTTGGGACGAAGATGCTTGCCCCATGATAGAAGAAATAACCACGGGAAGATATCGGAACTTTGGAAGGAGCAAAAGGCGGCGTGGGCCGGTTCACTCTCGCATATTTGGGTAGGAGAGGACACGTCTGGCGGCGGGCGGGGAGAAAAACAGTCAGCAGGAATCCTAACAGGTTCCTATTGCTACTATCAAGGCCAAATATAACACCATGCTTCTATAAATGTACCGTATGTATTGTAGATCACCTTACGCGACCGCTATCTGATATGCTGGGGGGAACGATAGGAAACCAAAGGCTTAGGCCGCTTGGGACCAGGGAAAAGGGGTAGATAATGGCACATGAGTTGATAGACAGAGACAAATAGGATACTTACAAGTATGGAACGGAAGAAATCCAGACTGCTGTGGTTGGGAAGCAGGATGATTGGGACTCAGTTGACCGGGAGGGGGATCAACGCAAAAGGAAGAAGATATTTGGGGCTCAAAAACGAGAGATGTGGACTCGTAAATTATTAGAGAACAAACCGCATAAAAATCCCCGGCTTCCACGTGGGGTGTAAGCAACGACGACGGTGGAGAATCTGGTGATGCTTGAAGATGTGATGATGTTTTGTTGTTGATGATGATGAGGTTGAATCGGGGCCAAAATCGATGCTGACTCATGCCCAACTGCAGCCCTTTGAACCAATCACCTAGGGTTTCTCATGGAAGGGAACAACGGCTGTTGTGTTGGATTGACTGGATCTATATTAGGGAGTCACGTGATTGGGGTCGCCGCCAATATCCACTCACAGGTAGCCAAGGGATGGACCGGATTATATGTTGTGCCGTTGTGCAGACCAACTCAGCCACAGCAACAGTCGTCCTGTAGTCCCTGGCAGTTGAACTTCCAAGTGTTTTGCCTTTTCCGGGATGCAGTGAATGGGGTTGGTGTGTTGATGGGAGGGTAGAGAAAGGGCCATGAACGGGTAAAAACGGAACTCAATTAGTGTCTCTATTATAATACTACTGGATACTTGAACTTGTCTCCATCCTCTCAACCGCCAATTCAACTGTTCCGAGATCCTATTACCAAAGGCCAAATTCCTTGGACAATGGTGTATGTGAGACAATTCTTGGCCTAAGGTATTGTATTCCGTGGAGAGAAGGGATCCTGCTGCTATAACACTCTCTTATCCACAACCACCATCACCGTTTTCTTCTTCGCCTGGTGATACTAGTTCCAGTAGTTATCACATAGAGTTGACTGCTTCGAAAAGTTGCCCCGGATTAAGATTTATCCGTAGTTGTGCTGAACTCGAACTGGATTTCTTCTAACAGGCGACATCCTAAGAATGTATTTTATTTTATTTTAATTATTTTTTTTTTAAAAAAAAAATAAAAATAAAAGATGTCAATCTTTCTCTTTGGGAACCTTTGATCTCGAATAACAATAGCAATATTGTCTTAAAAAGCTCCACAGGGAAAAAGGACTTGGTTTCTTCCTTGATTGCCTCCAGGGAGTCGAGTTAGTAAGTTAACTACATGAAAAAAGAGCTGTTTGTGGCAAATGAAGCCATGGTTTTCTTAATTCTTGTCTTCCACATCTCAGACGACAATTTATGGAGCATCAAGTCCCGCAGTCCCGGGATCATTTTGACAAGAAAATATTGTTTGGCCCAAAGGACAATTCTCTTTGTCTTTAACTGGCCCTGAAACGGTGAATTTATGTCTCCATTCTACTTCTCGCTACCACTCGCCCCATGGGAGCAACCCTTAAGCTTTCGTGCCGCCTGGTATGAGCGGCGCAAAGATGGACGAGAGCATAAGGAGCTGGGCGAGGGAAACGTAGCAGAGGATGAGATATCTAACATAGACACCAACGATTATGACGCCAGTGTTAGCAGAAATACCAGAAGTAATACTCTAAACTCCAGTCCAAAGTCATCATTAATCTTGTCTCCTGACGAGGCACACCAGTATCGAATTGCTGGCCAACCATTTCACAAAAAATTGCCTGGGGATGATTTCCCTCATGCCAGGCCTGGCTCGGACAAAACTACCAGGATCACCAAACGGGATATCGAGACAGAGCTGTCTCAACTGTCACCGCCACTATTCATTTCTGAGCCTGCAAACCAAAGCAGTCTGCGTCTGCAGCACTTAGCTGTCATCACAACAATCCTCCATAAGTGCCTTCTTGAGGGCGATTATACGAGGGCGGGGAGAGCCTGGGGCTTGATCCTACGGGATGAGTTCGGCGGACATGCCGTGGATGTCCGGAACGGTGGGAGATGGGGTGTTGGTGCGGAAATACTGCTGTGGAGTGACAAGGACACAGTCACAGCACAATCATCAGGGATGGAAACCAAGGGTAACAGCCCACGCCGGAGACGCTGGTTCACTCGCAAAGGCTTTGAATGCGCCAAAAGCTACTACGAGCGGCTAGTACTCCAATTTCCATATCGGAAGTCTGCGCCAAGAGCATTGGGACCGCTGGACTTTTATCCTGCCATGTTCGGGCTCTGGATATCGCTTGTGCAGGAGGAAAGCCAGTCAGCAAGAGAGGAGGCCCTGGATATGGAAGATATGGACGATTTCGATATGTATCAGGATGAAATGTCCATATCCAACAACATACCCCGCAAGAACAGTCGGAAAGATGACATAATTGCTAATGCCCGTCGCAAGGAGTTAGAAGAGGCACACCAGATATCGGTACGGATGGACGAACTAGTGATCTCCCCACCATTTTCCGATAGCTATGAACTCTTACGGTTAAGAGGGATGGTGTCTCTGTGGATTGCGGATTTGTTTATATCCTCTGTATCTGCGGATAATGGGGATGCTGGTAGCGTGGGTAATTTTGGTGATGAGAACATGTTGTCTGAAGAAGGCAGTGGTGGTCATGTGGATTCGGAGCTTGCTCGAATGGAGCACGGGCTGAGGATGGAGAGGAAGATGGCGGAAGTGGAGAAGGCGAATAGTTTCTTCGAAAGGGCGAAGAGGAAAGCAAGCAGGAAGCTATCAGCTTTCCCTTCTGATGAAACGGATGAGGGCGAGGATGTGGATGTGGATGAGACCGCTACTGAGATTTCCAAAATCATTGAATAAGTTTGGAGGTTTACAATTGCATTGCATTTTCTTTCGGTGGAGGGTGTGTCCAGGTACAAAGACTTAGCGATTAGCGATGCTAATTAGCTTATGCAGATGCTCAATAGATTACGCCTTGAATAATGTTGCTGTTCTTGCTTCCTAACACCTAGGTTCGCATTCTGCCACGGTCACCAGTCTAACAACAAAACCCCGATCCGAAACACGCAGAAACTACGCTGAGTCAAACCTCTCATCCCCCTGTCCCACGCTGCAAGCTACGACTGATATCACATCGCTTATCTCCTCTCCAATAAAGGAGCTTCTGCAAAATGCAGTAAGTGCAGACACCGGTGGTACACCAACTTGCGCTAAGACATTCTGCGCAATGGAAGTATCATCCTCCAGAGACTTACTGACTAGCATGTCAACCAAAATGTCCTCGACCCTGGATTTGCCGATTGAGCTACTCCTATGAATCTTCGAAGAACTTGGAGACCTTGACGATGTTTTGCATCTGGGACGAGCCTGCAAGAACTTTCTGGACAGCGGGCAGAATTGATTTCGTATCTACAAATCGGTGATTGTAAGGACAATCCTTCATGGAAGAAGTTTTTATACTTGTTTGTATTGACAGTAAGTTCAGACTTCGTGTAGCTCATCATCGGTACGATATCCAACTGCGCATTTTCCCGAGACAAACCAACAGGATGTATTGAACTAACTTTGCTCGGCTCAACCAAGAAGCGCTTCCTCCGTCATGTCGACCGTCGGCCAAGTTGATCTCGGTATTGTACCAAGTGTCTGCCTCTGATCTACAAGATGAACATGTACGGTGGGTTTCTTGTCAGTGGCAGGGGTTGCGGCTTCTACATGATCTCTATCGACATCCAGCAATCCAGGACGCATATTCACAATCCAGCCTTGAGTATCGCGATGACAACATCTCTAGGCATGAAGTGGAAATGCTGCGGTCAGAAGGAACTTCTCTCAGATGGAGGTTAATCTTCCCAGAACGCCTTTGAGCCCATTTAGTGCTAGGCAGACACATCGGTTTTATAGATCTTTATGTGCTCAGTGGCTTGCAATTGAAACGTTGTACCTATGGTGAGTGTCAGCGTTCCGGAACGTAGGAGCGAATCCGGTCATTTGAACAGAGTCTCAGAATCTGGACAGAAAATCCACAGCGAGAGCTTTCCGGGCGACGGATATTCTGAAAGTGTTTGACTTTATCTGGGGAATTTTACTCAGAAGGATATTCGGGGATGACATGGATCATTTCTCTTGGCTACCTTCGGATCAAAAATCTGGACGTTCACTAGATCATTGATGCGGATGGAAGTAATTCAGATAGCCCAAAATGGGACAACTTTAAAAGGTCCTTCTCTCTTATGTGTGACCACCAAATCTGATCGAACTCATCGTGCTCAGCACCAGAGCCAGCCTTTCCTGACCAGCAGATATGCCCGATTTTCTTAGACAGAGCTTGGCTGGTTCGACGAATGGATTGGAATTTGTTTGGTGGAAAATGGTGGATTTCCTTATGATACATATTTTCCGCCTTTTTCATTGAGGAAGATAGTAGGAGACTCGTGGAGTCGAAGAGTTTCGATAATCAGATAGATAACTGGAATTTGGCAGAGATATCGTGATTAAGTCTGGATAGAAGATGCTAGAGGAAATGCCTTGTCGTGAGATGGGGACCATAACTGGATAATCAAACGCATCATGACCGCACTGAGGTAACACCAGCTGTAATTTAGTTAAACGCAGAGTCTAATTACCTGACTTTGAGTCAGCAAATCTCTAACTAATAAGTACCTACGGAGAAAACTATACCTAACTTTTTTTTATAAAAAACTTCTGTAGGTCCATGAAAAAGGGACTTGTATGTTTCTGCTTCACAAACTCTCGTACTATCTCAATATTCTTGCCCATATCTTAGCAATTCCACCCTCCTCCTCCCCTTATGTTCTACCACCTGACACGCTTACATAGGGTATTCTCTTCTGGATTAGAGTACAGACTGATTCGTAGACTGATTCGTCATTCCCACTATGTAAGACGATTGACTCCTTGGTTCAGTGAAAGAGCCCGCCCATCTGGTTTTCTTGACACCTAACTATTCGACCACTTGAACGCTTCTGCCGATTATTCTTCAGAGGCATCCGAGAAAATATTCTGTAAACCATAGACATACTCTTGTATGTACAACTCGCACCGGGTATATCAACGCATTCGGCATCCTGCGAAAGTCCAGTCAATTCCGTAAAACTTAGATTGTTATACCTGCTGTGTACAAACTCAGAAATAATTAAGTGCCCAGCCACTCAATGCACCCATTATAAACTCCAAAGTTAGTCATTTTTCTGCGCCACTGATCACTGATCCTTCAACGATCATGTGAAATTTGAGAATGATACCGTGTTAAGAGCACCACTCGCTATTCAGGAGGATGGCTCTATTTGGTTAAGATGCCAGTTGATAGATGTCTGCATTCTCTCTGCAAGTTGCAAGAACTGTGTACTTGTTCTTCCTGAATGCCGTGATGTCACTTCACTAGAGAGATTTGTTAGTGAAGCCGCCGGTGAAAAGACAGGATAGAGCAACAAACCAATATCCTAGATCTACAATGTAGTTAGATGATATCCGCTTCTCGCCTTAGTGCTGTTCTTCACGCAGGGCCATGCTCATTTAAAAGAGGTTCTGCAGTCTTACGCAAACATGGGGTTCGTACAAGGACAGTCAGTTATGTTCACGGACAATCAGCGTTTTATCTATGCGTCTGCATCTTGGACCAAGTTTCCGAAATCCTCAATGATGGCTAAACCGAATTGGGCCGGGTCGGGGCCTAAATTCACATCACGTGTCAACGCGTCAAGGACGTGCTCCGATTTCAGATCACCCCAATCTCGTCTCCCCAAGGTCTCAAAAGACTCAAAAGATGACCGGTAAGGAGGACCGTATTCAATAATCAAGATATGGCAACAATCTGAAAATACACGTTCATCGTGTATCATCTTCCCTTCTGCGACACAACTTCGAATTCCCCATTTTCCTGTTTGTCAAACCAGGACAGAGACATGGCAGTTGGGGAATATGTACGAGGCAAACATTTGCAAAATGATACGCCAGCTACTCAGTGTAGCGGTCAAGCTACAATTAACCCTTCAAGGGAACTGGTCGCCAATATGGCCAGGGTCAAAGTGCCCTCGACCAAGTTAAATGATGCTTCCTTGCCTGCACCTGGAGCAAAAGATAACCCTATGTCAACAATAAAGTCAGGGGACGGTGTGGGATATCGCGCACAGAACAATAGCCAATCGAGATCCAGAGATGTCAGCGATATATTTGATACTGATGTGGAAACTGTTGATGAATCCACTACTACGGTAGCTAGCCTCTCCCGAGGAGAGGAGGACCACAGGCTTGATATCCAGGCTCCCTCAGCTGCTCGGTTCACGTCTCAGGAGAAAAATAACTTCCCATCCCATGTACCATTTCATATGCAGTATAGCCATAGCAATTCCCGCAGTCGGAATAGTTTGGAGGAAAGGATGCTAGTGGAGCTTGGTTCTGACCCAGTCGAGGACAGACATGATGATCTTCAGGAACCTGTGGAACATCATACGAGAGAGGACGCAGCTGAGGCTAGAGATGAGAATGAATTCAATGGAGATGATGCTCAGGTGTTTGACTGGAACATCAATCACGCTCCCAATGGGGAACCCATGAGCTGGCAGAAAATCGAAACTGCCCTGCGTGACACGAAAACTCCTCGCCTGTTGCAAGCTTCACCGCAACAGGAAGATGCGAATCCGCGGTTTCGTCCCAAACAGCCGGAGCCCGAGATTTTTCCCGACAGTAATACGTATGCGTCGAAGCCAACACAAAGGTTTTCAACCGGTAGCCGCTTCATGGCAAGATCTCGTTTTAGAACTCTAAATCTGCGAGAGGGAGTTCCACAAGAAGGGGACAGATTGATCGGGTCGCTCTCCATACCTCAAACGTCACCAACCCGCATCGTCCCTCCATCTCCACAACCTCGGCTGGCCTCTGAACCAGAGGAAAAAATCCCAGCAGAACCCAATCAACCAATTCCCTTACAACCAGTGCCAGAAAAGCCAGGTCGATACAACCATGACGGGCTATTCGATATCACCGATCTAAGCGTTGTAGACAGCTTTCAATCTGAAAACTCGGACAACCAACCGACATACACGTCCCTACTCCTATACACCATATCCCCAGTCTCCTCCAAACGCTCCTTGACAGACTTCTCATCTGACTACCCCCAAAATATCCTGATGACGAAAAGTTTCTCTGACCTTCAAGCGGAATCTTTCGACTATAACCCAGCGCCTCCGCAGCCTGTATTCCAACCTCAAGATCCCCCAATCCCTCTCACAGAGAAATTGGCCCAACTGAAAGGGTTGACAGAGGAGCAACGCAAAACATTTTTTGCGTCCTTGACTCTTGCAGACTGGGAAAGGAGTGGCGACTGGATCATCGAGCAGTTTAGCCATTTGCTGCAGAGGACTAGGGAGGCTAGACAGGAACGCCGGCAGGTTGCTGCTGTATTTGAGAAGGAGATCGAGAGAAGGTATCAACTTGTGGAGGTGGAGGGAAAGGGTATCAGCAAGCGATTGGATGATATGAGGACCGGAGGCATGGAGGTTTTGAAAGGCGGGGATGTATGATAATTTACTTTATTCTTACGGAATCACGATATTTACTGGCCTAGATTATTACACATTTACCAATATATCCGCATGTTTTCCAACTTAACAGTTGCCCATCAGCGTCCACGGATGTTTTCGAACGACAACTGGATTGTTAGCTGTTAGATTGCGCATTCTTTTCTGATGTATTTTTCTACATGTCTACGGCGTTGAAAAAGTTTTCACTTATCTCATTGATTTACGCGAAGGGATACGATAGTAAGATAAAACAGAATTAGAAGCCGTCGTAGGTAATTAAAAATATAAAGATATTGTGAAGGATAGATTGCTTGATTGATT